TCACAAGCAACCCACCAGGGACCACCCTGCCCAGTTTACAGATGAGGATACTGAGGCTGAGACCGGTCCGATGTCATCCAGCAGGACTGAGTCTGAGCCAAGAGAGAACCCAGGACCCTTTGACACTCTGAAAATGCAGGATCCAGGGCGAGAGGAGAAGACTGGCTGTGAGGGCTGGCCTCGTCCTGTCTCCCACTCCCCGCAGGGCCTGTCTCCTACCCCCAAACCCTCAAAGCCCATGCACACAGGAGGGTATCCTAGGATCCCTGCTCCCATAGTATCCCTCCCCACAGGCCCAGATCTGCCTCTCCTCAGCTTCTCTTGGCAGTCATGACTTAACAGTAAGGAATCCAGAGGGAGGGTCCTGGAGCCTGTGTTCCCCCCAGCAATGAAAGGCCTTAGGTCTGCAGATGCACCTGCTCTCAGCGTTTCCTGAACTCCAAGTACCCACCGACGGGACTGACAAGACACAGCACAGGGACTCAAAGGCCAAGGCGGGGGAAGCAGCCAGCTCCAGCCACCCCCTCTTCCTCCCTCCCAGGTCTTGCTCAGTGTGCCGATGTGTTGGCTTGCCCGTCTGGGGTGTGTGTCTGGAACACTACAGTCCACATGTGGCTGCACGGGTGCTGATGGCGAGTGTGCTTGTCTTGTAGAGGCCGTGTCCGAATCTCTCAGGCGGGAGTGTGAATGTAGATCACAGAGTTGGTGTCTGTGACTCAGGGCTTTGCAGAGAGAACACGTGGGACTGGAGTTCATCCCTGCAGAGCCTCCCCTGCCGCCCCTCCGGCGGTGTAAACCCCCACAGGGAGGGCCCCATCTGCTGGAGGCTCGGTGACCTGTGTCAAATGAGCAGGCGCTCGGTCACACTCCAGAGCCTGGAGGAGGCCGCACTGCTCTGGGAAAGCCCGGGCAGCTCCAGGGTTGGGGGCAGGCTGAGCAGGGGCCCTGCTGAGGAGGGAGGCCCACGAGCCTCTGAGACTGGCGACGGCCTGGCTGGGAGCTGCCCTTCACAGACAAGGAAAGTGAAGAAGAAAAAATAAAAATAAGAAAAGAAAGGGCTTCCCTGCTTCCTTGGGACCCGCACTGCTGCTGAATGGCACGGGCCAAACTCTGAGCTGGGCATGGGCCCTCCTCTGCCTTCTGATCTGTTGTGTGGGATATATTAGTTCCCTGGAGGGGATACTTCTGTATGTCTCCGTGATGTGCAGGCTTGGCCTCTTTGTGTCTGAGCACTGGGGGAGAGAGTGTGAGTGTGTTGGTGTGTTCATGTTTGCGAACACCAGGGTGTGCCTATTTGTGGGAACTGGCCTGCCAGGTGAGAGCTTCCATGCTTGTGACCCCGGGGCCTGCAGGTCTCCTGTATTTCTGTGTCATGAAGGAATGTCTACTCGAGCCTACTGCAGCCTGTGTGCATGTTCTGGGCGCATTTCCTTTGGGATGCATGTCTGTTTATCGTTGTGTGTCTGTTTGTATGACTATGAATTCCAGCCTAATAGGATGACTCCATGTGTCCCTACTGTGCATCTGGATGTTTGTCCCTAGGCTAAACTGCATGTCTGTATCTGTGTGTTGTGTGTGTGAATGCACATCCATCTGCATGCCTAAACCATTCGGCGTCTGCGTGGGTCAGGTGGGCATCTGAATGCCATGCCCCAATTTCTCCCCGCCGGCTCTCTGAGGGTGGGGCTCCCAGAGAGAGGGGCTGTTGAACTGCAGGCATCCCTGCCAATGGGCATGTCACAGCCCCCGGGGGTCCTACCCAGAACCTCCAGGAGCAGAGGCAAGAAGGATGTCAGGACCTCTGGGGGGAGCCTAACTCTCAAATACAAGAAAATGTTGACTCCAGACTAAATCCATGCATTGTAGAGTCTAAACTTCTAAGAAAGGAATGCTACCCTTCCCTAGTCCACACTGCCAGCGCCGAGGCAGTATCTAACACTAGAGCTTTGGAACTGTCCTGAGAAGCAGGTATTGCTCTCCTGTTTTTAAAATGACAAAACTGAAGCTACAACCAGCAAAACAGCCAGCCAAAGTCACAGGGCTGCCGGCGGTGGGGGCAGGGGGAGGGGGGTGGAGACTGGGAAGGAGCCTTGCTGGCTGACCAGCTGGTAACCTAGGAGTCTGGCTCTGCTGCAGACACCTCTCAATTCAGCCAGCACACACCTGGGAACCCGGCTTCGGAAGCCCCAGCTGGCCCTGGCCTGCCCCCAGAAAGCTACCAGAGATGGGGCTGTGGGTTCTCTCTGCTGTGACAGCCAAAGCCACTGCCCCACCGGCACCTGCCCCCACCCCACAGCAATGGGATCAAGCGTGATGAAGAGTGGGACCTTCATAGGTTCTGCTGCCTCGGACAAGCTCAGTTTCTTCATCTCCGCCCTGGGGATAATACTGTCAGGGCCCTTCTATAGGGCTGAGGTGCGGGTAAAATGTGAATGAATGCAAAAGCACTCAATAAAGCATCGTGCTCATGGATCACTGTTCTTCAAATCTCAGTGGCCATTCAAAGGCTGGACATCGTAACACCTGACCGCTGTCCAGACACTTCCCTTCCTCCAACGGGAACTGAGAGATTCATAGAATCAGACCATCACAGCTACAAGGGACTGAGAGGTCAGCTCCTCCAAACCTTCACAACCTCACTCGACGGATAACGAAACTGAGATTTGTTTAGAAAGGGGGAGTGACATGCCCGTTCACCGGGCACTCACAATAGAAACAACCAGAGTAAAAGCCCTTCCTGAGAGCTTTCACCCCCCATTATCTCAGATCACCCACTGACTCCCCTCAGTGAGGCAGGTGGGCTGCCTACGGTAATGTTAGTCCCAATTTACAGGAAGGAAAACCAAGAGCTACAGAGACTAGACCAGAGTTATTCTTGCCCAGAAAGATGGTAGCAGGTCCAGGTAGGAAGCCCAAGCTTCAGTGTCATGCTGGCCTGGTTAGGGCTGGCGAGAGAGGAGTTTTCACTACAGAATTCCCACCTTGGCCCTACTTCCTGGGCCTGGGGAAGGGGCCAGGAAGGCAAGTGCTTTACGATCTTATTGAGGAAAGGTGACGCAAGGTGACCACATCTTGGGCCAGAGTCCAGGAAAGCCAAGCATCCCTAGCTGGGTTCAGACACAGAGCTCCATCGCAGCTCTTGCAGCAAGGTTGGTACCCAGGAAGACTGCTCAGGACAGTGGCCAACGGCCACACAAGGACCGTGCCTTGTCCCACTCCATCCCTTGAGGGCTAGCCAGAGGCTGGTCTATGGGCGTTCAGGGCCTGGAAGGAGCAATCTGTACCCAGGATGACCCCTGTCACTGTGGACTCTACCCCAGCCACCCTGAGGACCAGTCCCACTGCAGCTGCCATCTGAGCCCCCATCACCCTTATGCATTCACTGAGACTCTATTTACAGTCCTAACTTGCCCAGTAGGGTCTAGGTGGACCCCCAGCTCAGTTCTGTGATCTGAGACTCCAGGGCCCATACCTCCAATGGATCCACTGGAGGTAAGACCAAAGGGGGGAAAAAAGAGGTGAGCTATCAGCTGGAAGACTCCCTGGGACTCAAGCCTCAGTGCAGGAAAGAGGTAGAGGTTACAGTTTGCTACACTCGCCCTCCAGCCCAGTGTGGAGCTTAGAAGCACAGAGTAGCTGAGCTGAGGTCCAAGTCCACTCAGGATTTTCAAGGAGTCCTCAAAGAGCTGGGGAGAAGAGGAGATCCCCGAATTGCACACCTCACCTTTCTAACAAGGCTTCCTCCATCTCAATTCCCTTTTCAGCTGCCCCCCTCCCCCGCCCCTCGCAAGTCCGTTAGGCTCCAGCCCAGAGCTCCAGGCGAGGCTGGACAGCTCCCGGCCTGCACGCAGGATTTCTGGAGCCGCCCTTCCCCAAGTCCATGCCACTCCTCACCGGGAGCAAGTTTCGCGTCCGGGCGTGACCCCGTCATGACCCCGGCCAATGAGCCGGTCACGCAAAGGGAAGGAGCGAGAAGGCTGCGGCGGCGTGGGACAGATACCCGTGGGCCCAGTATGTCCACCACCCCCGTCGGCGGCGTTTTCCCCGGAACCTCGGTCTGCACCTCGAGGTCCTCTCCCTCGGGAAGCCTGGAACGCGGCCTGGTTACGAGAGCTCCCGTCTCTCCGCAGCATCGCCCGCGCGGTACTCACCTGGTCGGCGGAGCCCAGGAGAAGGGGAACCCGCATGAGGCAGGAAGCCAGGGCGGGTCGGGCGTAGGTCGGCGGAGTTGCGACGCTGGGTCTAGAAGAAGAGGGAAAAACGAGACCGGCCAGGGAGGCGCGCAGAGGAGAGCTCGGTGCCGGCTGGAAGCCGCGGGAGGCGAGGCGGCCGAGGAGAGCAGCCGCGCCGGAACCGAGCCGGGACCCGCGCCGCCTCCCGCTCGCAGCCGCCGAGACCGCGGGAATCCCGGCCCGCCGGCAGCGACACTGCGGAGGGAGGAGCGCGGGGCTGAGCTGCTTCTCGGAGCCCGAGCGCCTCCCGGAGCCCGCAATCCCCGCCGCCGCCTCTTGGCCGCCCGGGCAGGAGACGGGCGGGAATTCAGTTCGCGTGGAGTGTGGGACCTGCCGGGCTCCGAGTCTCCTGCGCCGGGGGTAAGCGGGGCCCACGCAGCCAGGACGAGAGGGGGTGCGGTCCCAGTGCCACCCCCGCGCCACTCCCCACGTGGCGGCCGCGCCCCCGGGGCGTGAGTAGGTACGCGGACGGTAGGGGGGCCGTGAATGAAGCCCCAGCGGCCAATCAGCTCGGTCGGCGCGCGAGACCCCCGGTAGCGAGGCCCAATGGCGAGCTCTGGGCGGCCCGGCCGGGCGGCAGGCGGACGCGGGGGGCGGGGGCCGTGGCCGGGGGGCGGGAGGCGGCTCCGCGGGCAGCCAATGGGCGGCGGGTGGGGTGGGGCTCCGGAGCGCCGAGCGGGTCGGGGCTTTAAGCCGGCGGAGCGCGGCGGCGGGGCCCGCAGACGGAGCGGAGCGGCGGCGGCGGCGCGGCGCAGGGCGCGGGGCGGCATGGCCACCACCGCGCAGTACCTGCCGCGGGGCCCCGGCGGCGGAGCCGGGGGCACGGGACCGCTTATGCACCCGGACGCCGCGGCGGCAGCGGCGGCGGCGGCGGCCGCCGAGCGGCTGCACGCGGGGGCCGCGTACCGCGAAGTGCAGAAGCTGATGCACCACGAGTGGCTGGGCGCGGGCGCGGGCCACCCCGTGGGCCTAGCGCACCCCCAGTGGCTACCCACGGGAGGAGGAGGCGGCGGCGACTGGGCCGGGGGCCCGCACCTGGAACACGGCAAGGCGGGCGGCGGCGGTACCGGCCGAGCCGACGACGGCGGCGGCGGAGGAGGAGGTTTCCACGCGCGCCTGGTGCACCAGGGAGCGGCCCACGCGGGCGCTGCATGGGCGCAGGGCGGCACGGCGCACCACTTGGGCCCAGCCATGTCGCCGTCCCCAGGGGCCGGCGGGGGCCACCAGCCCCAGCCGCTCGGGCTGTACGCGCAGGCGGCCTACCCGGGGGGCGGCGGCGGCGGCCTGGCCGGGATGCTGGCGGCGGGCGGCGGCGGTGCGGGGCCCGGCCTGCACCACGCGCTGCACGAGGACGGCCACGAGGCGCAGCTGGAGCCGTCGCCTCCGCCGCACCTGGGCGCCCACGGACACGCACACGGACATGCACACGCGGGCGGCCTGCACGCGGCGGCGGCGCACCTGCACCCAGGCGCGGGCGGCGGTGGCTCGTCGGTGGGCGAGCACTCGGACGAGGACGCGCCCAGCTCGGACGACCTGGAGCAGTTCGCCAAGCAGTTCAAGCAGCGGCGCATCAAGCTGGGCTTCACGCAGGCCGACGTGGGGCTGGCGCTGGGCACGCTGTACGGTAACGTGTTCTCCCAGACCACCATCTGCCGCTTCGAGGCCCTGCAGCTGAGCTTCAAGAACATGTGCAAGCTCAAGCCGCTGCTCAACAAGTGGCTGGAGGAGACCGACTCGTCCAGCGGCAGCCCCACCAACCTGGACAAGATCGCGGCGCAGGGCCGCAAGCGCAAGAAGCGCACGTCCATCGAGGTGGGGGTCAAAGGCGCGCTCGAGAGCCACTTTCTCAAGTGCCCCAAGCCCTCGGCGCACGAGATCACCGGCCTGGCCGACAGTCTGCAGCTGGAGAAGGAGGTGGTGCGCGTCTGGTTCTGCAACCGGCGGCAGAAGGAGAAGCGCATGACCCCGGCGGCGGGCGCCGGCCACCCGCCCATGGACGACGTTTACGCACCCGGCGAGCTGGGGCCGGGCGGGGGCGGTGCGTCGCCGCCCTCGGCGCCCCCGCCACCCCCGCCGGCCGCGCTGCACCACCACCACCACCACACACTGCCCGGCTCGGTGCAGTGACCCCGCGGGCCGGGCCCCCGCCGGCGCGCGGCGACGCGCCGCGCGGCCTGAACTCTTTTTGTTCGGTTGCTTTGGATTTTACAAAAAGCCCAGAAACTTTCGAACAAAACCAAACACCCGGACGACCCTCTCTGGCGAGCGGCTGCGTCGCCCGAGCCCCGGGAGAGAGGGGCGAAGATCCGGAACGCGCCAACTCACCCCGGGCATCCTGCCCGCCGCCTGCTCCCTGCCCCCATCCCCTCGACGACCCCCGCCCTTGCCCCCCCCCCGGGCTGTTCGGGGCCGGATCCCGGCAGCGGCCTCCCCACAGCGACAGGTAACGCGGTACGGGGTTAGGGATTCCCTGGGAGAGAGGACGAAGAGAGGAGGGTTTCCCTGTCCCTCTCCCCGGCGCGGACTCCCGAGCCTGCGGGTCGAGGGTGGGGGACTGTCACTTAATTCGCTCCACGCCTCTTCTCTCCCACAAGGATGCGCCCCATCCCCCTTACCCTTCCTCCGGGCTTGGTTTTTTACGGTTTTTATTTATTCATGGAGCCTCCCGGTTCCTGGGGTCCTTCTAACTCCGCCCGCGCCCTTAATTTAAATCGCTGTATACTGTATTTATCGGGGCCCCGGAGGGGAGGCCGCGAGAGCCGCGTCTGTGTATAAAAGCAGGAAATAGCCAAAGCTTTAATCTAGCCTAATTTATTTTTTTCCCTTACCTTCCCTTGCCCTACCCCCTAAAAAGCAAAACAAAAACAACAAAAAAAAAAAACTAACAAAAAAAAATTCGAGTGTTCATTTTTCGTTTCGTTTTATCCGAGCTGCGATTCGGTTCCCGGCCACGCGGGAGGGGTCTGCGCTCCCACACACAGCCCCCGGGAAGAGGCTTCTGCCCCGCCGCAGACTGACCGCTGCACAGCTGGGGCCCCAGCTCCCCGCGGGGCCCTGCCCTCCTGGCCACCGACAAACGAAACTTGAAAAAGTTGGAGATATTTTTTAACCAGCTGTAGAAATAAGCCGTCCCCTGAGAACCTTCTGCCTGATTCCCTGCAGCTTCCGCCTGCTCCCTTTCCAGCCCCACCTGGGATGCGGGATGCTGGGGCGGCCAGGAGAGAAATTCCCCAAGTTTGGGGTGAGGTGGGAACCATGTAAATATGTGAGATATGTACACACATTTTGTGCTTGGTTTTTATTTTTGGTTTTTCCGGGCTGCCCTCCATCCCCATCCGAGAGGATTTTGTACACCGAATAATCCGAAAAAAAAAATATTTTAATATGATTTCCAGATTTCTGACCCATCTCTATTTATTTTCTGGATGTGTTCGGAGCTTCCCCCTTCTCCATTTCTTGTTCTGTTTGTTACAGTTTGGATTTAAATTTTGTCATTTTATTTTTATTATTTTTCGGAACAATGTTTTGGTGCATTCTTTGTATCTTTATTGCAAAAAAAAAAATAATGTAGACTGGGAAGTTCCCTTTATATTTATGTTATAGTAAATATTTTATTACTCACATAAACACGTAGCCCAGGGCTGTGTCCTGTCCTTTCTACAACCAGGGTTGGGTCGGTGCGCGGGTCAAGCGTTGGGATACCCTGGCCCACCTCCCCTAAAGTCCTGGCTGCACTATCTTGGACGAAGGTGACCACCCAGACCTTCTTTCAGGCCAGTGTGAGGACTGCCTGCTCCTTGGGCAACAGCTGGACCCCTGCCTCAGGCGAGTGAGCGTAGGGAGGATGAAGCTGCCTCGTGTCCCCTCCCGTAAACAGACTACCCTGAAACCAGACCAGGGCCTCCGACACTGCAGACACCACATTGAATTTGGGACAGCCATTCCTCAGGCACAATTCAACTGCTTCCCAGCCAAGGAAGAAGCCTGCCTCACCTGGACCACCAGCCTGGCGTCTCTGTGTTCCCCACCCAAGACGCCAGGCCCCGGCTTCGGTTTCACTTTGCGCTCCAGGCATGGAGTCCAGGCCAGCTCTACCCTTCCAGGACATGGGGCGGTTGGAAGCGGGGTCAGGCCACACCAGCCTGCCCCAGCTGGCTCTCCATCCACAAAAACATGGTACCCAAACCTAACCTGGATCCACTGGGAGTCCTAACAGCTTCCACAGCAGTGCTGCAGGAATTAAGTGGGCCTGGGAAGGGAGTCCTGCCTGTTTGCTTTGGCAAAGCCGGTCCCACTCCTCTGCAAACAAGCCACCTGGCCCAACTTCCCTCGTGGAGGAAAGCGGGCAAAGACAACTGTGCCCCCACAAAGCCCTTCCGTCTCTCCAGGGATGGGTACCCAAGGAACCCCCCCCCCCACTCAGGGAGTGATGCATATGCCCAAAGGAAGACTCGGCAGTTGTGCAGCCCTGATGGGCGGGGCCGGGGGGCGGGGGGAGACATAGTCTCAGACATCTCCCCTCCCAAGCTTTCAGCTCCAACTTCTCCCCCTCCCCAGAGTCCTGATGGCGGGGGCAGAGCTGAGTTCCAAGACCTATGTCCCAGTCAAGATCCTCTTTTTCCTTTAAAGCAACTTTTAAAGATACGAATAAAATAGCTCTTCCTGCTTCCTCCCTAGATGCAGTTCCTTTCCCTTCTCAGGAGAAACCACATGAGGTTTCTCTCTTCATGGACACAAAGCCTGAAGCAGCACAACCGCTTGATGGGGGGAGAAAGTTGTGTCCCTAGTGAGTGTGTGTGTGTGTGTGTGTGTGTGTGTGTGTGTGTGTGGCCCCCTCCTTCCAGGAAGTGGCCCAAGCCCAGGGCTGGGAGAGGACTTGGCTCCAGCCGATGCATCTTGGGCACCCAGATAGGTGTTCCAGGCCTCCAGCTTGGTGGTCCCTGGCCAGGCTGAGGCTTTGGGATGATGGTACCATGCTGAGAGTTCCCGGTGACTTTCTGGGCTCTGACCCTCAGCCTCAGGAGGAATTATCTCTGCAAGGACAAAAGCCGCCAAGATTTTCCAAGGCTCAGCGTCTCACTCACCGCTGCTTTCTGTTTCCTCCCTCCTTCAGTCCAGCCTAGTGGGCGATGAGCGCTCTGATGGGCACCCGTGTCCCAGCCATCGCCCACCCTGGCGGGCCAATGAGCCTCCCCAGGCTTACAGATGGGGCCGGGGATGTCACAGCCAGGTGACAGCATGGCCTCCATTTCCTGCTCCACTAAGTACAGAACTTCAGATCAGTCCCACACTCCCCCACACTCTCTACTTATTTCTCCATTCCTGGATTTGTCCCAACCTCGGGGCCCTGAAATGGAAGCAAGCGAAGCTCAGAGCTCCCTGCTGCCTGCTCCGCCCTGAACCTCAGCAGGTTTAGAGGTTGGAAAGGCGACAGGGAAGACGGGGGCCTTTCACTGGCTTCTGCCTGCAGCTGACACCAATTGATTGATTGATTTCCTAATTGTCTGCTTAATCCCGTACAAGAGGGTGGATTTATTATTTAAGCAAGTCAACTCAAAAAACAGCAAAACAATGTGGCCTCCCAAGAGCCAGCAGCAGCTGAGAAGTAGAACAAAAAAGTGGGAAGAAAAAAAAAAGTGGAAACGAGGACGGAAGAAAAGCTTCCACTTTGTGAAGATTTTACTTAATGAGACAGCAGCCTGGGACGGCTACCCAGTGACCAACCCCTTGGCCACAGAAGTCCCCAGGGCTCCTTTCCCCAGTCTCCAGCCTGGGGAGGGGGGTGGTAAGAACCTCAGCACATGTGACTGTGTAAGGAGAAACCAGAGGGAAAAAGAGATTTTGCCCTGCAGTCTTACTCCCTGGCTAGAGTACGGTTTAGGAAAGGTCTCTCCACCCCATATGGATGTGGAGCCACCTGCTCACTCCAAGAGCCTCCGACTCTCCTCGTTCAAGAAAGGCAGATGGCCCCGGCATCAACCTGCAAGGGAGCCCAAGCATTCGCCAGCAGAGTGGCCATCCTCTGATCCCATCTCTCTCCCCTTCTCACTTGAAGAAAATTATTGTCCATGATCATGTGGCCACAGATTGTGTTCGTTAAGAGAGTGTCACTCTCCCCATGGGAACCTCTGTGTGTTGGTGTGTGAAGTTGTGTGTGTACCACTGTGCCTGCAAATCCAGAGCCACTCCCAGAGATCGGAAAAGGAAGGCCATGCTACACCAAGAATGCTTTGAGCCGGGAGAACACTGGCAGTGTGGGGGCTGGCTAAAACCGGAAGAAGGAAGGTGGCCATTGTGGTCACCTGTGCCCCCCAAGGCAAACACAGAAGGGACGTGGCCCTAAACCCCAAAGATGTCTGTATTCTCCCCTACCTCCTGGCCCAGGAGGTTGTGCTAGCTTGTATATGGCATGGCTCAGGTCCTGTGCAATCATCCCTTGGCCCCAGGACCCGCCTGGGTATCCACAGGACTAGCTGACTCCCAACCTCAGCTAGCCACACCTAGAGCTGTTTGGAATCGAGTCTCCTCTGGAGAGGCTCTGGGCCTGCATGTGGGGGGGTCAAGAGCCCAGTGATGACCCAGGTCCAAGCTTTCCCCAGCAGGGCTTGAGCTCCAGAAAGCTCTAGATACAAGACCCACCTGAGCAGGGGTAAGAGTGAGAGTAGGTTGGTTATCTGGCCCAGCGGCTCCCCCTAAGCTTAGCGAACAGGAGTCACCCGGGGCCTCCAGCTTAGTGACTGAAGCGAGAGGAGCCAGCAGTCTTGTCCCGGCCTGGCATATTTGAAGGCACTGGAGCCAGTGTTTGGCCGGCCCTTTGGGACTCCATGTGGGAGGACTGCCCTCTATTGGTCCCTGAGCTGGGACGTGGCCAACCTCACAGCTGAGCATCCCCCACAAAGTTCGGCTTCAAGTTGGCTACTCTATGGGGGGTGCCAGGTGGAGCAGAGGCAACTGACAACCTCCAAGAAAGCAGGCCTGTGTCTCTCACACACACACAGGCTTGCCTACACCCTTCCTTCACCCACCACCCCCCTCATTCCCCCAGCCATTCTCAGCAATCGCCATCAACCACCTCCTGTCTCTCGTCCACTCGCACCCATCCCTAGCCCTCCTCCCCTCAGCCAACT